AATAGTAATTCTTTCACAGTACATTAGAAAATTTCTCTGGCTGCAATCAAACCTGGGGAGAGCAGGAGACAGGGAGAGGAAAAGGAGTTTATAATCACAGAATCATAAAATGGTTTGGGATGGAAGGGACTTGAAAGATCATCTAGTTCCAACCTCCCTGCCATGGGCAGGGACACCTTCCACTGGACCAGGTTGCTCAAAGCCCCATCCAGCCTGGCCTTGAACACTGCCAGGGATGGGGCATCCACAGCCTCTCTGGGCAAACTGTTCCAGGGCCTCACCACCCTCACAGTAAAGAACTTCTGCCTTACATCTAGTCTAAACCTACCCCCTTTCAGTTAAAGCCATTTAAAGCTATAGTGATAGTCACTACATGCCCCTGTAAAAAGTCCCTCTCCAGCTTGCTTGTAGGCCCCCCCTTTTGGAAGGCTGCTAGAAGGTTGTCCTGGAGCCTTCTTTTCTCCAGGCCGAACCTCAACTCTCCCAGCCTGTCTTCACAGGAGAAGTGCTCCAGCCCTCTGATCATCATGAGTTTAGTTTTTAGCAGTCATTCCCTCACCCAGCCCACTGCATGGCTGAACAAATCACAGAATAATTTATATTGAAACGCAATTCTGGAGTTACTGTCCAAGCCTGTGCTTAAAGCATGGAAAATATTGAAATTGCATCGGGCCTCATCCAGAATTTTTCAGTATCTTTAAAGACATCAATTTTACAGCACTTTTGGACAACCTGTTCCACTATCTGACCACCCTCCTTGTGAAAACAATTTCTCCTAGTACCTAACCGGAATTTACCTGGCTGCAACTTGCTACAGTCACCTCGTGATATGCCTTGCTTGAAGAGTCAGATGTACCTTGTTGACTGCTGCAACTCTTGGGCTTTGAGAAGGTTGCCCCTAGAGGTCCATTAGCTCTCCTGGACTGCTCTGCTCCTGAGGGCAGCCTCCTGTGCAATCCTGCCTAGCAGTTCCCCAAAGTCTCCTCTCCTAAAGTCCAGAGTCATTATCCTGCTACTTGCCTTCCTCACTTGCCTTGGGATATTAAACTCCATCATCTCGGGATGACTGTAGTCAAAGTTGACATTAAACCTCACCCCTCTAACTGGATCTTCATTATTTTCAAGTAGCAGAACCCACACAGCACATGCCAAATCAAGCCATCCAGCACCTGTACACAAAAAGTATCCTTAAAGTACTCCAGAAATCTCCTAATCCGCATTTGGAAGAGCTCTTTCAGTTGTTAAAGGAAGAGTCCATCCAGCTTCGCTTCTTGATTGAATGGTCTGTAACAAATGCACGCTGCATCACCCTGTTGGACAACTCTTCTTGACCCAAAAGCTTCCAATTGACCATCACTCATTTCCTAACAATTCCCTGTGCACTTCATCATCTCTGCCCAACCTTCCTAAAAAACCCATCCCCACCTGTCAGTGCACCCTGTTCACACAAACTACCCACTATGTCTCTGAAATCCCAGTGACACCAGAGCTCTGCAACTGCACACTGACCTCTAATTCCTCCTCTGCATGCTTTTGCAAGTTCAGGTGCAAGCATCTGACATGGGCTCTTGATCACACCTCAGGGTAGATTCGGTGATCCTCACCCATCACTTCCTCCTGCCCATGCTTCCCCCTTCTTGCACTGCTCTACAGGCTTTGGCGTCCATCCTGCAAGGTACCAAGTCTAAAGCTAGACTCATTAAACTAGCAAGTCTGCTGGTAAAGATGTTCTTACCTCAGTTCATCAGGAGGGTGACAAGAGGCACCCGGAGCTAGAGGACAGGGAAAGACTGTTCATTAAGCAGCAGCAAGAGCTACAACAAACTGAAGCATAAGTAACTTCTTGATGCTACCCCTAGCTGAACCTTTCTGTGCTTCCCATGAAAAAATCTCTTCTGCCATCTGAACATTGATAAATCTTTGTTTATTCTTCTAAAAATGAGGATCACCCACAGGTGACCAAATTCTCTGAAATAATTCTGAACATATTTGAATTTCTGAAGGTAAAATGTAGATGGCACAAATCAATGGAATACTCTGAAGACTAATAATCTACGGTGGGTCTAACACAGAGTGGGTAAAGACCACAGAGAGAAGTTTAACCTGCCCTTCATCTTCCACATAGGGAACATGACATTTCCTAACTCAAGATGTTGAAGAATTCAGGCACAAAGTATCAGTAAAAAGATGAACATCTTAGAGCACTCAGCAAGAGACATAGCACTCTACAAACTTCAAAGTACACTTAGGACAGATGCCTTGATCCACAAGTCAAAATACACAGAAGGTCCCTGAAGAAAATACAAATTTCTTTTTACAATATTTAGAGAATATGAAGAGAAGTATAATTTGAAAACATTAGCCACGTTAATATTACATGTGCTCCGTCTGTTCAAATCCTGTGTTAAAACAAACCCCAGTTGTTAAGCTGATACCAGATGCCATCTAACAGATGCTAAAAAACAAGACAGCATGTTCTTAATTTAAATTATCTCAATACAACTATAATCTCAAAGATACACTAAATTACATTACTTCAGAATTTTTCTTAATTGAAAGGGCATGGCAGTAAGCTTTCTCATAAAAAGGTCTATTTTCCTAATAATTTTCATTCTATCAAAAATGTACAAAGGTTGAATTGAATAATATGCTGTGTTGTCTTTACCTTCTCCCTTCAGCCCTTCAAAATTATATGAAAATCGATCAAGTTTTACAATGCTTTCACAAATGAAGCACTGAAAAATCTCATCACTTGAAACCCTGAATATTTCAATGGATAAAGCCATGGAAAATGGACTTTCCATACTGGAAAATACTTTTGGTTCTCCTCAAGACATACAGATGCAGCCTGAAATCCTCATCCTTTGTGAACTATTTTTGGCCCTCACATGAGTTGCATATAACTAACTTTTCACTGCAGTCAATGTAATCCACACACTTAAAATTTGAAGCCTTTGTTTATGTGATGGTTTCATATGGTATAAACCAACACGGTAAGAATTTAAGGAACTGCAAGCTAAATAATATAGCCCTTCCCTTGTAAACAACATAAGATTACTTACAACAAAATTGTCTGAATGGTGTTCCTTAAAACATACATTCCTCTTCTCAGGCATACACTTAGCAGAGAAAGGTTAGCTGGAGAGTTCAAAGTCATTCAAAGATGGCAGATACCAAAGAGATCACCTGGTCTTACCATTCAAAAGACTTTTGCAAAAATGCCTTCCCTAATAAGAAACAGAAGCAACTATATCCTTTTGTATTTTTGCAAATACTTTTTATCTCTTGGCTGCATTTAGGTTGGCTTCAGACAGAAAACAAGTCCTATGCAGTTAAGACATCCATCCATTTCTCCATGTGTCTGCCCATCAGTAGGTCTGAAATAAACTCTGCTGGTCAATGTCAAAGTACTCTGGTGGGAAGACAGACGTCTCAGAAATGAAGTTTCTCAAACTTAGCAGAAGTGAGAGGAGAAATTTTTGTTTACTGGTTCACATCTAAATGTAGCTGTAAGAAATAAAAGGATGAGAAAGACTGACTCTGCTTGGGATGAAATCTGGAAAACAATGTACACGTTTCTTGAAGAATTTTTAAGCACATGTGCAAACTGTTGCCTTTCATTAAAATGGTTGTAGTTCTAGGAACACAGAGAACATGCATAACAATATTTAAAAACAGAGAAACTAATACTTGCACTACATTTAACACACAGAATTCATGCATTGTTCTATTGGTTTTCTAAGGTACTGACTTACATGTCAGCCACAATAGTTTTGGTATCAAAGTTGGGTTTAAATACAGAACGCAGAGTGGATGTAAACAGTGTTGCTCAGCAACAGAAATGAATGAGGATGTATTTTTACACCCTGACAAAATTATTACAACTACGCATTGAATTCCAGTGTAAGAATTCAACTATGCTATGAAAGAATATAAATATCTTTCCATAACACAGAAATTTTCTAAGTGAGTTCTGGTTAAATATTGACATTTTTGCATAAACGGAACTCTTTCTGAAATGTTGCTTAGGGAGCCTGGATGGAACCAGGCACTAGGAATCTCACTTATGTCTCAAGTCTTGCCTTTGACAAATCCTGTGCAGCTAATTTAATAATTAGTAAAGAAAAATCATTTCAGATCACTAGATAAAAGTACAAATAAAAGCACAAAAAGATAAACCACAATTTGATTGCCACTCTTCCCTTATTTTCTGCCACCCACTATCACGCAAATTTGAGGATGATCTGAGAGATGCCGAGTACCAACAGACGGCTTGGGGGGCTGTTGGCTGCACAGAACGTTTCCCTGATGAAAATCAGGAAAAAGTGTATTTTTGACAAGCCAAGCCAAGATTTTTTATGGAAATCATGAAATTTACAATCACACCATTGGTTTATTTTAATTCTAAATTGAATGTAATTTCTTTTAATAATCATAAGGCAGTACTTCACTGCATTTAGAATGATTATGGGAATTTTATGTTTAGAATGACTAAGCCATCACACATGTCTTTTCTAAGCCTTAAAAAGGCTACCCAAGATTGGATATATTACTAAATCTGTATAGAGGACTTGGAAATAAATTATTCTAATATGTTCTCAAATTTAATTAAATATATGAAAACACTCTAAATCCAGCTTCATGTATTTCTTCATGATTCAGTTACTCGGTGTGGGGGAGAACAGAAAAATCTGACCCTATAAAACTACTAATCACCAATCCTAACTATACTTCCTCAGTTCCCTAAAAGTTGGGAAAAACACACAGGGTTTGTGGCAGGCTCAATGACTCAGAAAAAGCCATAATAGTAAGACCCAAGCATCATCTAAATAATATACAGCACAATTAACCTTAAACAGTCTATAATTATGATAAGCTTCATAGTTCTAATTACTTTTCTTTTCAGTAACACTGCTATAAAGTGAGTTGAATTATAAAATAAAATGTGTCACAGGGTATCTATTTATATATTTTTAAAGCAAGTATTTATGAAAGGATATAATTTTCCAGCAAATATCCAGCTTGCTGTTAATCTCCAGACCTTTTGCTTGTTGCCTTTCTTCTTCCAGCTGCTTTGCATTCGCAAACTGTGTCCCATCGGTAGGGGATTCTGGGAAGCTCTCAAAATTGAACTTGTCAACTTGGATAGCCATACTGTAGCAAAGGGAAAAGAATGAGAAGAAAATCCAGGATTTTTACTATAACAACTTATTACTTCTGCAGAAAATGCAGACCACTGTGAAACCAAGCACTACAATATTAGTATATTTGTCTCAGTGGCATCTACTCTGTATACTAATGATATATAAGCCATATGATTTATGCTACTAAAAACAAAAGTCTAAGCCTACTGAAGATGTTAAGATTTCTTACAAATCATCAATCAACATCTTAATGCCTTTGTGAGTGGTACACAAGACATCTGTTTTGCAGTTGCAACCAGTTGACCTTACTGTGGTTCTGCAGAGGTTCATCTACCTTCATTCTTGGTTTGTAAAAGCTCCTGGTGTGCTTAAGACTTGCTGAAAAAAGGCAACAAGACTGGGCCAAATGCTGATGAGCATACTATTTAAAGTAGTTTATTAATCCCAACCTATACACAAGTGAAGCAAAATATTATATACAAAACTGCTTCTGATGTGAACAGTAACACACTTAGAAAGCCATGTGCACTGCCTTGGTTTTACAAGCCAACTTTCTAAATTTTCCTTTAAAAATTTCCTTACAAACCTCAGGAAGGAAAGACAAAATAACCACAGTACTAGGGCCTAAATGTGGTCCTTGTCTTTTTCTTTAAGAAGATCTTCCATCTTGCTTAATGTATCTTCATGAATTACAGGAAATATTATTTCAATATCATAGTATAATTCATTGGCAGTAAATGGTTAAATAATTGCTTTATTAAATGTACAGTAAGGCATAAAAGCAAATTAAATATATTACATTATAATGCATACTAAATACTTATATGTTAAACTAGAATCACTAATCTAATATGAAAGGGAATTCAGACCAGCTCACATCACATGAAATGTGGTTATAGCAGATCTAATATACTGTGCTGCCAAAACAGCTTTAATTTCCTGAATCGTCTGAAATAGAAAAATAATTAGGGAAGAACTAAAATATATTGCTCTTGAGATGACTTTGCACGTAACAGAAGACCAAGAAACAGCTTTGAAAACCATTCATGATTAAATGCAACTACAATCTAAGAAGTGATATAGGAAGGGCATTTCACAGAAACACCAGATTACTATTATTCCTTTATCTATTTCTACACATAAAGAGGGAAACATTCTATAAATGTTGCCAAAAGGAAAACAGCAGTAACAAAAGTCAAGAAAAAAGGGCTTTGAAATCCCCCCAGACCAGAAGAGATTTTCTATAATTAGCATTAATTTAAGAGAATCTTGACCCTAAAAGAAACTGGGAGAAAATACACGGCAATTATAAAGACAAGGAATAATCTAGAGCTTGTGAAGTTTATTGTGGAAAGATGAATTCAAATAGGCCCATCATGCTTCACCCTGAGCAAAACCTGACATCTCAGGAGAAGCTGTTAATGTTCCACGACTACCTTCACCATTAAAAAGTACAAATACAGCACTGAGACAAAGGTGGCAGAATTATTGTTTCTATAAGCTACCTTTTATGCAGACTGTATCTTTGCTGATATTCACATTTAAAAATTAAAAAAAGGCAGAGGAATTAATCTATTCCTCTCTAAGGGGTGTTTTTGTTTTGGCTATTTTTTCCGACAGCAAGAGATCATTAAGAGTTCTTCATTTGTATGCAAAGACCATCAAGTGCTGGGCATATAGAAAAAGCTAAAATGAGCAACAAAAGTGTATCACAGTAACTGCAGGAATCAAACCAGAAATAAATAATGTAATGAAAAACACCTAGATACAATCTGTAGTATGGATTTAAAAAGAAATATTAGGCCTGAAACTATGACTAACAACATCAATTCTTACTGGCATTGAAGTATGATTTGATTCTGCAAATGCAGGTTGAGTTTCCTGGATTTTGCATAGGCAATGCATGTGAAAGACAGAGACGCAACTGGAACATTAAGAAATCATTTTTGCCTTTGTTTCCGAGATCACTTCATCACTCTGTGGTACCTGAGCAGATGCAAACCCGGTACTTGATTTCTATTATATAGACAGTACTGCTTAAATTTTCATATAAATACTCACACTTAGATACCTGTAGTCATATTTTGACAACAAACTATCTTAGTTTCTGACCAGTCAAACATATTTAGAGTCTGTCTCCCAACAGACCTGGAAAACAACTCTCATCTAATTGTTGTGCCACACTTTTCTAAAAGTGAAATATATTAGAAAAACATTCCTGCCTAACAATATTTCATATGTAACTGAGGGCATTCAGATTGCATTCTTCTGTTAATGGATCATTACTGGCAATATGGTAATTTTTTTTCTGGAAATTAAATATGCATGTAAGCACTTTTTCCCCAACAGCCTACAATAAATCCACATCAGCTTCAGGAATACAGCCGAGATTACTCTTAACAATGTTTCATTGTACAGGTCTGCTTGAAATAACTTTTATTAAGCTCTAAGGTATGGAAAACTTTAGTAAATAGGGCTCCTAGCACTCAGAACCTCTACTAATTTTTCAAATTTTTTAACCATGTTTTTATTTATACTGTGTATGCTGTATTCAGCACAGTGACACCTTATGTCACATGAGAAGACAGAGCACCCCAACAACATACTTGCCAGCTAGAAAGTGAAGAGGTCTGAGTAAAAGAGAATTACGGAGAGAAAAATATCACACAAAATAATATTATGAATACAGCTATAAGCAGAATATAGGAAAGCAACACAGAGATAAAATTAAATTTTTCAAGACTATAGTTACACTCAAAGTAAAGCATGACAAAATTAAATCCTAGCTCTTTTTCTTAAACATAGATGCCTTTTATCACCAGTATTCTGCTTCCTCTTGTGCTAAAAATATTCGTATCGAGTTTTGTCTCTGCATTTTTTATCAATAATGTTGCTTCAGTATTTATTCCTCAGCCTATGGAATGAGTAGTAAATTGGAAGGCTTTACACAAAAATCAAAACAAAAAATAAATACCGTAACCTAAATCAGTCACTCATCCTTAAAAATGTACCCCTACACAAACACAGTTTCTTCGCTTCACTTTTAATATGAAGTTTTCTCCCATCTCAAAAGATGCATTTCACCAGTGAGGTGTTAATAAATGGATGAACAATTCCTGAAGCCGGTTGACTGAAGGAGAAAATGGATAAGCTGGACATCGGGTGACAATCACCAACCAAAAGAAGGATTTTTGAGGTTTTAACTGATCTGTAGAGAACACACGGGCTTCACCCTCAAAGAAGCAGAAGACAGTGAAAGGCAACCTCTTGACCATCGCCCAACTTTGCCACTGTGCTGTGCATCAAAATAATGAAACTAAAATGTATTTTAGCTGTAAAAGTCTTTCTCCACTTAAATTACTGTAGTAATCTACAGTTACTTTGCAACCTATGTTTCTTGTCAAGAGTTCTCTGCACCTCTTTTCTCCTCAAATTTGTTCTTGTTTGTTGTGATATACAAGAATCTATAGAATCTATATAGAAAGCAGTAAAAAAAGGCAATTCAGATTGAAACAGGCATTCAATTTATTACAAACAGCTAGGATAATGATGGCTCACGCTGTGCAAGGGTAACTGTATACACGGTACCTTGCCCTTCACAGTAGTTACATATCAGGGAAAACATAAAAGATCTTAAACCACAGAAGTTTAAACATATACTTGCTTCAGGAAAAGGGACTAGAATTTCATTTTAACTTTCTTTGCCTCATGGGTAGCTATCCAAATTTCCTATGAGGAGACTTTTCAATAAATCATGAGATATTTGTATAAAAACACTGCATTATGCAAAAATATTTAATAGCCAATCCTGCAAATGCAAAACAGGTTTTGTTTCTCTCTGGCTAACCTTGCTTGTGCGGGAGGAGGGATAAAGTAACAACAGTTTTCATGAATAATGAAACAGTCTTGTTTTGAAACTACTGGGTTTTGTCATGAAACGAGCCCAAGCCGTTGTGACAGCTACTCAGACAACCAAGCATTGTCACAGGGATGCAAATTATTCAAATACAAATTAAGTGAATGAAGAGGGAAAGGTCAGCTCATTGGCAATGCTGATGATATGTCTGCACCGTAGAATCTCACGTCACCTGTCAGGATGACTTGCAGGGAAAAAAAATGACAAACCTTCTGATGGTGCAGCAGATGTTTCAATGACAGTTATCTAAAGTCCTATTAAAGTAACAGTCCAGAATTATTAAAGACATCAGATAGTTCATTTCACCACTTCTCATAAAATGAGTTTCAACTTTATTGGAAATAGTACTCTGTCCTGACAACAAAATGCACAACAGAAAGGACTTTGTATCAAGAAAAAAAACTTCCTGTAAATGGCATCACGACTACTCCTGAGCCAGTGCTTTGCACATCCCTCTTTACTGAAGCAGTGTCAGTTAAAATTAAGCAACACCGACAGTTTCACAGAAGTGGCAAGCAGCAGATAAAATTCATAGGTGAAAAATTCAGTAAGGGAGTATTGCCTGTAGTGCTATAAACTCTTGCCCTTGTTCCTGGCAGGAGAGCGGGCACGTCCCAGGCATACCCTATTCCCCAGTGATGTATCTTGGCTCTTTTGATGTCCTCATCTCTTACAAGAGAATGAATCTATAAAGCAAAATTAAATATGTCACACTCTCCGAATAAAACAGGGTTAAAAGCAGGCATGGTATTAAAAGAAAAGCAGCAATCTGGTTAACATAACTAGATTTCATCTTTCATTAAGTAAATAAAATACTGCTGCTTAGGCTGGAAGAATAAAATCTAGAGATAGCCCTTATTCAATTATCTTTAGGAAGAAACGATATAACGGGAACCCAAAACCTCTTCCTCATGGCTAACTACCTATTTAAATGCTATCATCCACAGATGAGTTTGCAAGCTGTTTCCATAATGAAGCCAAAAGGAGGCAGTTGGAGACTTTATTCAATACTATGCTTCTTGTTCATCCTCCTTTCTTATATAAAGTAGACAGTAGGGACACAGAGCCAGACCATATTACTACTACTTATGCAA